CCACTCAAGGAATGGATGTCTCTCTGCGCTTATTTTATGCTTGTGTTGTTCTGTGTGCAGATAGCGGCATTGCGACCGGCTGATCCCCCATCCAAAGGGCTCTTACCGAATGTGTATAGGATTAAGAAACTGTAAGACTGGCCAGAGTCCACAAGGGCTGTAGAGCCATAGGAAGCTGAACGAATGGTACCGTGGGAGATTTTCTCCAGGTACTTCGGTTTGCACCGCCAGTCCTACTTACTTACTTACTTACTTACTCATGGAGCCGAGCGCTCTTCTGGAGGAGCCGCCAATTCTGCAGCTACTCAAGAAATTCCCAGCATTTTATGGAACCCGAAGGTTCATTACCGTGTTCACAAGAGCCCTCCACTGGTCCATATCCTGAGCCAGATCAATCCAGTCCATACCAACCCATGTTATATCTCTTAAGGTCCAGTTTAATATTGTCCACCCACCTACGCCTTGGTCTTCTCTGTGGTCTCTTTCCTTCTGGCTTTCCCACCAATATCCTATACGCTTTCCTAGTCTCCCCCATTCGTGCTACATAGCCTGCCCACCTCATTCTCCTTGACTTGATCATTCTAATTATTCGTACTTGGAGAAGAGTATAAGTTATGAAGCTCCTCATTATGCAGTTGTCTCCTTCCCTCCTGTCACTTCATATCTCATCGGTCCAAATATTCTCAACACCCTGTTCTCAAACACCCTCAGTTTACGTTCATCCCTTAATGTCAGAGACCAAGATTCACACCCATACAGAACCACAGGCAAAATTATAGTTTTGTATATTCTAATTTTTATGTTTTTGGACAGCAGACGAGAAGACAAAAGGTTCAGGACTGAGCTATTCATAAGGAAATGTTTTTGTTTACGGTGGGAAATGTTTGTCGCGTAAAGGGGTTCATATCTTGGGCGAGTGCAAATATTTCGCTGGCGATATAAGAGATTGAATCTGATTTGCGGAAACAGTCAGAGGACTTCTATGCTGCGGGTTTCGAAGCGCTGGTAAAGCGATGGGGCAAGTGTATCAATGTTGGTGTAGGATATGTCGAGAAATGTTTTTCCCTGTTTCGAATATGATATGCTTTACGTTTTTATATGCATTTATAACCGATTTACTGACTCCCTCGTGTTCTCTTCACACCAATATCCATAGTGATAACCTTCGCCACCGACAAGCTTTTTGGGTTGGTTGATAAAGGCCAGTGGTGGCCAGAGGGGTTATAACAGTAGACAGAAAGGGGGGGGGGGCCACGAGCGCTGTCATCTCCANCACCCACGAAACTTCGTTTTGTATCCTCAGTGTAGCGATGTATAATTAATCGATACAAACTTTGTGTAATTAGAGAGAAGGTTCAAACCAGCGTAAAAAAAGAAGACAGCTATTAAGTGGAGTGTGTAATATATATTCCATCACGCGCTCAGTGATTAATGGCGCACAACTATTATAATGCTAGTGTAATTTTCGGGAGCCCCAAGCGGGCACTCCAATTGTGTACATGTTACGATGTCTGCCAATATTATCGACAAAGCGTTTTGTTACCAGCCTATAGTAATGAAGGATAATATTCGAAGTGAGGGATGTAATTCTAACCGGCTAATTGTAACTTCATCCCCTTTCAAACATGATTCAGGGATGGATTTGCTATCGAAACAGAGAACTTTGTTTGAAAAGTGGGATATCAGAAACTGGACTCAACCGAAAGAGCAACAAAGCTTCCTCGTTTTGCAGGCCCCTTCTACCGACAACTTTTCGTCTGATAGCGGAAGATTATCGGCTGCTGCTGTGAGGGTGATAGTTCTTGAACAAGGAACCAGGTATATCTTATTTTGTGTAGGTAGCCTTACGGAAGAAATGTCTGTTATGTTCAAGGAGGTATGTCATATGGAGATTCTAGGAAATATCGCTCAAAGAATAGTCAATGAACACCGACATTCATGGAATCTTGAACGCATATCTATGAATAATAACATATACGGCCTAACTAGGAAGAATCCACCCTATAAGCGGATCTGTAACAAGTCAACACGGATAAAAGGACAGTGGGTGGGTCAATATCTCAAAATTATTATACACATAATTGCCGCGTTGTCGATAGAGTAATCGTGAACTGCAACTTTCGATTTTTCGGGAAAGTGAGAGTCCAACCAGTCTCTTATGCGCCTCTGAAGTAACTTCCACATTCACGTAAATATATGTATGCTGCAGTCGCATTTTATGCGAGGATGCATTCCTGCATAATTCGAGACAAGTTTTGCTAAACATATATGATTATGGCCGTGTTTTTTTTTGGGGGGGGGGATTTGCAGTATTTCAAACTTCACGTATAAAATGAGATTTTTTAATATATTATTTCGCTCTACTAAAAATTCGCATAAAATGCAACCGCAATCTATTCTCTTTTAATCGGCCGTTAATATACAATGTTTTCAGTGTTAAACATGGAATAGTGTTATCATATTTTTTATGTAAAATACAAACAAGTGGACGACAAAATACCTTGTATTTTAGTTATTTTGTGTGGAAGTATTTACATTAAATTGCCATTATGTTCAAAAGGCATCATACACATATAATAAATTCTGATGTAGCAATATTAGTGAAAATAAGTTTTGAATAAAATTAAAACACTCGCAGCTAATAAGGGAACACACACCACAAGACACGGTTTACACAGAATATAAGAAAAACGACCCCCATAGTGGAAGAACCACACGCAAGTTTTAATTATGACACATAAGATGAATAATCGTAAGTTTTAGTGTGCGTAAATGTATTATAGTTGACAAATACGCACTTTTTAAATAATTTTATAAAGGCAAGCAATGAAATAGATTAGCGTAATTAGGGCACCTGATGATGGCACTATGTTGCCGAATCACGTCGTGAAGTAACAAGTGAAACTGAGTGCACTACAAGACGGCCACTGTATACATATCATGGCTGAAAATCAGTGCAACAGGACGCTAAAATACAACATTTTGAATAAAGGGCTCAAAGATAGACTGAGGTGAATCACTGGAACATACGTATTTGTTCATTGTCTTTGTAATGTAGGTTTGGAGAGTCACACCAAATTACACGTTTTTATAATCTCTTAGAATCTTATGAAGAAAAATTAGCATTGAATCTGCATGCTACTGTTGCTCACACAGCATATATAACACAACTTCATCATTCCACTGAAAGGAAATCATGGATGAAATTTATGGGGAATATCGGTGTTGTGGATTCAATGTCTCTACTATCCAGTGTCTAGTCTAGCAAGTGCTTAGCCTAGGGTGTGTCCAACAGCAAAAAACTTTCCTACTTCTTCCATAGCTTTGCGGGCGTCTAGCTTAGCAGGAGTCTAGTATAGCCTATATAGACAAAGGAAAGTTCTGAGCAACGCGTCTAGAATGGCGGGAAAGTAGCCTAGAATTTGCCTTGGATAGCGTTTATTTAGGACAGTGGGACTTCAGCCAACCAGTTTTAGGCTAGTGGGAGTTTAGCATATCTGTGGTGTATACTCACGTGCTTCTAGACTAGCGAGTGAATAGCCTAGGTTGAATCATCTAGACAAGCGGCTGTCTAGAACAGAACCCAGAATAGCATCTGTCTAGACTTACAGATTTAGCATAGCGGATGTTTAGGCTAGGCGGAGATGAGCCTAGAACATGTGTAGTCTAGCGGGTATATAGCTTAGAGTGGGAGTAGTGGGAATGTCTTATCTAGGTCAGCGAGTCCTTAGCCTAGTGTCTATCTAGGTAATATTTTCATAGGCAGGTCCAATTAGAGCCTAGAATATATATGTTAGCGTATCTCCTAGATATCGTCTAGTCCAGAATCCATCCTCGTTTATATGGCCTAGCGTGTGCCTAGTAGTTACCTAGCCAGAATCCAAACTAGGTTACCCAATCATAGACATAGTTGATATAAGATCACGGGCACAAATTTATAAATATACCAGCATGTCATTGCCATCTGAACCCTACCAAACTGGGTTTGTCTCACATTAATGAATTACTAAAGCAGGAACATTCTTCAAAAATGGTTTGGAACGAAGGGTGTGGAATTCATGTGATAGAAATTGTTGGAACATATTTGTATGATTGTTTTTCTTCGTTGACTGCAAAGGAAAGAATTTTGTAGTTTCAAATGAAAGCACTTCAATAGTTGGTGTTGCGTAACATTGTTGTAGTGTGTCGAGACAGTGGTATAAATGTGGTTTCCAAATTCTGAAGATTTTTGCAGAAATGTCTCTTTGAAGGCCAGTCAGACGTCAGCCCAAAATCTGTTTATCCAAGCGTTTGATTGTATGTCGTAGCTATTGTCAGCCTACGGCCTTTTTAGCCTAGCAGAGTATTCGTCTTGCCGGGGGCTAGTTTGGAAAGTACATATGCATCCTCTTTGACTTCCCGACGTTCAATCTAGTGTTTGGAGTTGCAGATGTCTAGTCTATCGTGAGCTTAGCGTAGCACGTGTCTGCTTTAGCAAGCCTATCTTGCAACCAGACTACTGGGCATGTGGTCTACCAGGCGTCTTATTATGTCTAACTTTGCCAGCATCTAGCGTAGTAGGCATGTATCCTCACAAGCGTGTCCCATAGAAGACATTTAGCCTATCTAGGTTCTACTGTAGAACAGATGCCATTTACTATGGATCACTCACTCATTCACTCACGGTCCCGAGCCCTTCTTGTGAAGCCGCCAATTGTGCAGCTACTCAAGAGCTTCCCAGCATTTTATGGAACCCGAAGGTTCATTACAGTGTTCAAAAGAGTCCTCCAACGGTCCCTATCCGTAGCCAGATCGGTCCAGCCCATACCATCCGACCTTATCTCTCTAAGATCCATTTTCACATTGTCCACCAACCTACGTCTTGGTCTTCCCAGTGATCTCTTTCCTTCTGGTTTTCCCACTGCTTCTTTATTTAGAAGGCTTTCGTTCACATGCTGCAAACAAGGTTCATTTGAAATAAAAATTAATAAGGTTTTAAAATAAACAAATTGCAGTCCTTGTTTAATTACTTTATTGTCATCCCATCAGTGAAATCTTTGCAATTAATAAAGTGCAATTAGTGCAGTGGTTGTTCATTCTTACCTGATCAATGACAAGTCAAAAAGCCATTAAAATTGCAAGAATATTTTGTACTCGAAATTAAAGCTTTTAAAAAAGTGCTTCCATTTCTGTCAAATGATAGCTTTACATGTTCGATTATATTCCTAGCCAAATGTTTTTAATTTCCATGCTTAAAATACTCACCATGACAAAATACTTTGTATTTGAAATCTCACTTTTCATTCATTCTGACAAAAGTGCTTGAAACTATGTGCAGACTTAATGCATAGGAGAAACTTCCATAGTATTTTTTCTAAAGTTGAAAGAAATGCTGTTATACTCAATTACAAATTCAAAATAATGCAACAAGATTATTGTTTTTTTTGTAGTTCAGTATAAAACCTGATATTATATATCAATTTCTGTGCAACTCAATTGTATCATTACTTTTGTAATGGATGTCGTGTTCTATCCTTCACTGATTCACACATACTGTACATGATCCATTACGAATATAAATACTAAATTCATTTGTACATGAATTTCGCCATAAGTCTATTTTATATCTGAATTATATAAATTTCGCCAAAGTTCACGTGCCAGGAAAAGGGCCTAGTATATTCATTAACCAATTTTAATCATACTTATATCAATTTAAAAACTATTTTTGGCAATGGATAAAAATAAAAATATGTAAAATTAATTTAGTCAGACGTTCTGCGTTCCAGTAGCTCTTGCACGTATATAAAACATTCACACTTTTCCTTAATTTATTTCAGGCATAAAATCCAATAAAAAAGTTTCCAATGAGCGTAACTGAGCTTCTGCACGCTCGTCACGACATATCACTTGCGATTTTTATAATACAACACTACAAATTAAAATCGTTCACTAAGCATCAAATCGCTACCAATAAGAAAGAATACATACTAAACTGTGTCTTTTCCAACGTCACCCAACTAAATCCATATTCTATTTTGCTGATAATTTTTTAGAAAGTTTCATAGACAATGAACTTCATTATTAACCTATAGAATAAAGGAATAATTTCACATGATTCACAACCTTAAAATCACTTTCACATTTTTTTTAATTTTAAATATAATATTAAAAATGTTTAATTTTATAAATATCAATTCCAGTTCACTCCATTATGAAAAAAGCATTATTGAGACTGCTGACGCTTTCGCTGGGAAGTTCGTCATCCAGTCATCAGTTCTGGGGAGAAGTCATCTTCTGTACTTGCCTCAGAAATACTGCCCAAACAGAACATGTCCCGTTCCCCTGCTATGGGTACCGTAGTTGGTGGTTCGACATGAAGAGCTAAAGCTGCATCTCCATGCAAGAGTGGCGTCGGCTGAGGTGTCCAACAGTTGTGATAACCCTGCAACACAGAAAGCAAGATGGTCTGATATCACACTACTCTATATGCCGTCTAGACCAGATGGCTTAGGCTGTACGCCTTCTTGACTCCTGACATGGTAGAGTTGGGCTAGGCTACACTTCTGTTATGTTATAAGTGTGCTGGGATATGCGACAGCAGATCTGTCAAGCAAACATTCTGTTGTAGCCTCGGAGAACAGGAAATTTGCTACTTGCCTGGTTAAAGGCAGTTGTGCCGGTACTTCGGTCCATCCCAAGGAAGCGACTACTGTAGCCGGGCACTGAACAGCTTGGGGCCGGCACTGAACCGGGACGAAGGGCCAGACTCCGGTTCACGGCTGGCTTACGCCACGGCCTTGGTTTTCGTCTGAGAGATTTCCTTCTTAGCAGCCGCTGAACAGAATGGTCATCCCCAGCGTCACGTAGGATATTGTTTCTGTTCGTCTGAAATGAAACAAGAAATTCTAGGGGGAGAACTAATCACCGCTTTCCTTGCAACGACATGGATTGTACAGAAAACAACGCGTTCAACAATTCTTCTATTGCTGAGTGTGTTTAGGTAACGTTTTCACTGAGCTGCTTCCTAGCAACGATACGGGTACACAGAAACTGATGGGAGGGATTTATGAAATAAGTTTAGATGGGTTCAGATGCCATGATAAATCATACGAAAGGGAAGTAGGCTAATGTAACAGGCCCAGTTCGTTTTTTCTTAGGTTTTGTTTAGTTTCTTTGGGTGGGTGAGACTGAGTCTGTATGGCACAACGGCCATGTTGCCTACTGTACCAGCCCCGGATGATGATGAGTATGGAGCAGTGAGTGGAATGAGAATTGGCAGGGGAAATCGAAGAATTCTGAGAAAAACTGCCCCAGTGCTACTTTTCTATCATAAACTCCACATGACCTTACCTGGGCTCGAACCCGGACCGCCGCAGTGGGAAGCCGGCGACTAACTGCCTGAGCTATGGCACGGGAAACAGGCCCACTTCCAGTTGACAGTGTTTTGATTCTGCATATGTTTCAGTACACATAACGTATTTTTACTTTCTCGCATTAATAGTGTACTTGAACAAGCATTGTAATGGTCAGTATTGTGACGTGGAAGGCGCAATGGGAAGTAGGGGTCAAGTGAACTCTGCGGTCTCGCGAGTGACGTCACATGCCCCACCCCTTCCATCACGCAACGCTCGGTAAACACCCCCTCCCCCGCGGTTACTACACAGCAGTAAACAACTCTCGACAGTGTTGCTAGGCAACCTGTAAACACGACGTCAGGCAACAGCGGTACCTGTCACGTAACTGTTTTCTGTGTTGTCCGTGCCGAGGCTAAATAAGGACCAGCGAAGACTATTCAGTAGTGAGTATTGAGCCCGTTACGAGTTAGGATTGAGCCAGTTACGAGTGAGTGAGTTTCTAGTGAGTAACGATTATCCAGTCAGTTGAATTGTAGCAGTCGCCGAGTCGGGTTGTATCGAGTGCATGGCAGAGACTCCAGCAGGAGAAGTGTGATACTGCAGATGGCAGTAGTTGTAAAATTGTAAACTGTGTAAGTGTGAGAGCAGTGTTCAATAAATTCGCTATAACAAAAAGGCGTGAAGTTATTTGTCGCGTCTCACACACCCAACAGGTGACAGCATATTAATAACGAGTGTCTGACGAATTCCAGATTTTTAGCCTCCTGAATACGAAAAAGTTGTTTTCCGGAATGTCCATTATTTGTCTGTAGGTACTCGTATGTGCGTCTTGCTAGTGTCTGATGGGTTAGATGTATTTTATTCATATTCAGAGTTTGAGAGTTTAAACCTTATATGTCGGTGTCCACTGAATATCAGCGTTCTACATCGATAAATAGGGGCCCTTCACNGCCCTTCACAGATATTCCCAAACAGAAAATACGTTTTTCTGGGGGGGGGGAAGGCTCCAATAATACTGATTAAATTTCAGTAACTTATGGCCACTATCTCCGTAAATGAACTAGTATGGGTGGTACTTTGAAGAAACTAACGATGCATGCTCTAGAAGACCAAACGCGAAACGTCAGTTTCCTCGGAAATGGCTTGAACGATTATTGTTAAGTTCTATAGGGTTCATTTGACGAAGTATCTTTTATGTTAAAATGCGATTTGAAGTAACCACCTAGGCATCTTTGATTCTAAGGTAATCCATAGACAACAGACCCACATGATAGGGCTGTGATCTTTTAAGTATATATAAAATAAGATGTGCAATGTCTTTACGCCAATTTCTTCTCATACAACAGCCATTTCCAAGCAACAGCCAGTGGAGACTGTAAGAGACTGTGGGCCACAGCCACTCGTACTGTCTATGGGAAGACTACTCACCTTTTGATTATTGTTTAATTCTTACTAGCAAAGGTAAAGTTGAAGAAAGCAGTCTTCTGGGATTTGGCACCGTGTATATGTGGTGTTAACCGACTTTTCGGAGGAACGTATCGCCCCCATCTTCAGGGTTGAAGAAGTATAAG